GAGCCCATCAGAGACAGAGAGACCGAGACAGACAGATGGCAGAGTGGGGGTATGGAAGAGTAAGAGGTAAGTAAAGCTATAGAAAGATGACTCACTGAATAACTGACAAGGAGAGATAATGGCCCAGAGATAATTGCAAAAGCAGTCACTAAAAAGCCTCAAATTATATTCTTGTCAGTGCAAGATGAGGTCACATGACTGGAGAGGGAATTTTGGTAGGAAATGAGGGCATTGTTTTGGAATAACCATGGGGAAGAACAAAAAAGAAAGAGACTCCATTAAAGCACATGGATTAAGGCACAGTGTCTAAGGAAAGGGTCCAAATATTGAGTGAAACCAACAAGCCTGCAGATGCACCAGCTTCAGAGCTGCCTCTTATCTCCAACTGCGCTAACTACAAGTGATGGCTGGCAACTGTCAGAGCCAGGGAAGACATTTTAAGATGGCAGTGATGCAGAAGAAGGTGCTGAGGAAAAGTCCACATGGATGAAAGTGCAAGAGCTCAATAGACTCAGATAAAAATGGACGGTAAAGTAGAAAGAAATGAGGCCCAGATGCAAGTGGTATTTCAGAGGTGGAGAGTTACATGGTGCTCAGGTTCAGCATGTGAGGAGCACTGACCGAGGACTAAATGACTAGGGGGAAGGATGGCTCATAGGAGAACAAACAGGAGCCAGGGCCCTGGTTCCTAATGAATGAAAGGCACTGCTATAGAAGCCATTAAAAGTTGTTGAAAATGAGAAGTAGAGGAAAATTAAGACGATTAAATCTCAGAAAGGAATTTTGAAACCTCGTACGCAGGGGCTAGGGAGATGACTCGGTAGTTAAGAGCATATACTGCTTTGCTGAGGACATAATTTGTACCCAGCTCACAGCGGCCTGTCTCCAACTTCAAAGGTTCCAAAATCCTCTCCTGGACTTCACAGGTACCTTGCACCCCACTCCCCAGAAAGCTTGTGTGTTTTTCTCTCTTTCACTCTTAGAAACCTTTTGATCTATGTCTTTCTGTCTGTCTGTCTGTCTGTCTGTCTATCTATCTATCTATCTATCTATCTAGATCGATCTATCATCTATCTATCTATCTATCTATCTATCTATCTATCTATCTATCTATCTAATATCTACCTACCTCCCTATCTCTCTCTCTCTCTCTCTCTCTCACACACACACACACACACACACACATACATACAAAAAATATTAATAAAATCTGTGTTACTGAGGTATGATATGACACATGAAAACATATAATGTGCACTATTCAAATCAGAATAAATGCACCCATCTCCTTGGCACTTGATCTTTTGTTCTTAAGGGCAAAAACAATGGGACCCATTCTTCTAACTTTTTAAGACAACACACGCCAGTGCTAGTAGGTACTATAACTTAGTATCTACTTGCCAACCTCCTCCATGATCCCTAGCATCTTCACAACCTCTAGCCTAATTCTGAATTAGGTATTTAGATTCTACCTAAGAGATAACGCAGATAAAAGGTACATCAATAGGCATAAAAGGGTTATTAAAACAGCAATGGTATCATTTAAAGGAAAGGGAGGCAAGGTACCAGAAAGGGCAGCAGAGGTGGCAAGGGGAAATGTAGAGGGAGCGGCGGGCTGCTTCCTGCCACCCAGCTCCCAGCCGCTTGGCTAGCTTATGCCCCGAAATAACAACACACAAACTGTATTCTTTTAAACACTTCCTGGCCCATTAGTTTCAGCCTCTTATTGGCTAATTCTCACATCTTGCTTAACCCATTTCTAATTTGTGTAGCACCACAAAGTGGTGTGGTGGCTTACCAGGAAAGATTCAGCATGTCTGACCTGGCGGCTGGCTCCATTGCGTCTGACCTCACTTCCCTTCTTCCCAGCATTCTGTTCTGTCTACTCCACCAACGTAAGGGCTGGCTTATCAAATGGCCAAGGCAGTTTCTTTATTAACCAATGAAATCAACACAAAACAGAAGACCCTCCCACATTGGGGAAAGGAAAAAAAGAAAAGAAAAATGTCAGGCCTAGCTAGAAATATTAGTACATAAAAGAAAATAGCTTCAATTTGGAAGGGCTGAGAAAACTCCAGTTGGAAAAAGGAGATTAAAGGAGAGAAAGCTATTCTATGAGTGGGGTGTGTGCACATGTGCTTGCATGCATGTATGTGCATGTAGGTGCATGTCTGTGCATGCAAGTGTGCATGAAAATAGTTTACCAGAGATTAAAAAGTCATTTTATAGATAAGCTGAGGTTAGAGATGAAATGGTTTAGAGTCACAGCCACTGAAGCATTTGACAAGGGTTTCTACTGCCATTGCTACAGAATTATGGATGGCCACTTATCCTGTCTACTCCATGTACTAAGAACCTGGCTGATAATAGTCATTAAAAACAAACAAACAAAACCTCAACTACTTGGTCTCTCACCAGAACTTTATGACTATATAATCCTACAGCTGAAGATACCATACAAAGGCAAGACAGAGGCGTCAAAACAGAACTAGGCTGGAAGTTTTCTTCCCACCACTACTATGAGAGAAACATCATCACTCTTCCCCAGTTGTGAGCCATGAGGTATAGCAACAACTAGCAAGGTAAGATGTGCCCTCTGGTTCCAAAGTGCCTTGAATGTTATGGAGCTAGCAGACAGCTGATTGGATGTGAAGCCCACTCCACAGGAGGGCGTCCATGCCTAACTCTGTAAACATGGTGAGGGGTTCACGGCTGGGGAGACATAGGCCTTCCAGGAAAACCTACTAATATGCTTTTGCTAAATGGCCACGTTGTCAAATTTCCTTCTAAATACTCATGTTTATTAGTACACCTTAGTGTTGTTCTCAGACTGGGTCAGAGAAGCCACTTAGTACAGTATGTGGCCATTAAAGCAGACTCTTCTTAACTAGTCAAAGCACCACGACTACAGGATGGGGTAGTCAGCCCTAAGGGGGACATCCTCATAATCCCTTCCGAGGCTTTGGGAACATGGTGGTGCAGCCAGAGGCAGGGAGATGTGAAACAGAACACAACTCCGGACACGACACAGCACTGCACTGGTGAATTTGCTGCAGCTGAGGTTACTTGCACAAAACTGAGTCTGTCACCATTTCCTCATGGATAACAAAGGGACCTATGGGGTCCCACTCTTCCGGATGGTCTATTGGCAGTTAATGGTTGCTGTGGAGTAGGGTAACGTTTTCTTCAGTGGTGGCGCAACTGATAAGCTGCGTGCTCAAGGAAATAACCTCCAACCCATGCATGTGTGAAGAACTCTAACTGAAGTAGGTCACACAGAGAAAGAAGATGCCCAAGTAGGAGGCTGGCTTCCTGAGGACAGTGAGAGTTTCGGCAGGAGTCAGAATTAGAAGTGAAAATGACTAAAATCCACTATAGACATGTGCTATGACTGTTGGAATAATGACAGAAAAGAATACAGCTCATCTGGAAGCTGCACTTCCACCTGTGGTAACTAAGGTCTTAAGCACTTTCAGAAGCCTCACAATAGGAAACTCTGCGTTTTCAACGAAGCTTTGCTTTCTTTTCACATCAGTTTATTTGCAACTATTCCTTTCAATCACTTGTCAGTGCAGCAAGCTTAAAAAGATAATTAAAAATTTCCCTATATAAAAACGATAGCATACTTTCTTCCATACGACCGATACTGAAGTGTAACGCATTTGACTGTATGCGTTGTCAATACAGTGGGTACCTTGTGTCCCGGCTGGCCTTAACTACAGCCATCTGAAACAGGAATGGCCTAGATCAGATTGGTCTGGGGACATGTATGGGGGAGGGGTTGTCTCGACTGTTAATTCTATGGGAGGGTCCTGTCCACTGCGGGTGGTACCATTCCTTGGGCAGGTGGTCCTGGGCTCTACAAGCTAGCTGAGCATGAGTGTATAAGTCAGCAAGTACAGTTCCTTTATGGTTTCTACTTCAAATTCAGTCCTGTCTTTTCTCGACAAGCAATTGTAACCTATATGATGAAATAAATCTTTTCCTCCCTGACATAGCTTTTGGTCAGAGTATTTTACAGAGATATTTATTTAGTCAGAGATCAGAATAGGACATTTTATAATGTGCCATGTTTGCTAATAACATTTTAATTGCATGTATTTTTTTCAATGATAAACTGTATCTGAAAAAACACTGCAAAAATAAGATGTAAAATATAAAAGCTGAAGTCAGTCAGAAGTGAACATTGTTTTTCTCTTTCAACTTACTCTGACACAAAGAGAGAAATTAATTTTCCTAAACTCTATACTCAAGGAGAAGCTTTGCATTAAAAATAGATGTTTCATATCATATAATAATGATACCATCATACTACTAATTTGAGAAGCAAATGCATGTGTAAATCTCTTCTTGGGAATTCCAAACTTTAAGAAATACTGTTGCAAAAAAGAAACACCTTTTTTCCTTTTCTTTTCTTTTTATTAAAATTTTGTGACATACAATATATTTTTATCAAGTTTTTCTCCTCCCCCAGTTCCTCCAAGATCCTCCCGATCCCCTTGCCCTCCCAACTCCATGTTCTTTCTCTCTCTCTCTTAAGAACAATACAAAACAACCCCCTCCCCAAGACAGAGGAGAAAACAAAACAAAACGAAAAACGGTAAGACAGAAAACAAGAAAAAACAAAACAAAAAGTATACACTTAACATGGAACCCTCTTTCTCATTTTAATCAGACTACTGAAACCAAAACAGTACTCTTAATTACATTTTATCATAGAAATAATTTCAAAATGTTAGAAAAAAGGTTTATTAAATATAGTCAATGCTTTCTGAAATAAAACTATCCCCCACAGTCTTACAGGAATCTTCATTAATGTGTGGCTTTCGATCTCTTAACTAAACACTGTGCACTTCCATGACTCTTCCTCAAAGACAGACGCTGAACTCTCAAATTAAATGTGATCAAGAGAGCAACATTTCAGATTACATTTAAATAAACTGATAACAAAATCCTGAATATTGGTAAACATTGTATAATATGCACATTATTTTACTTACCAAATCATATATTTGGTTTGCCAACTGTACTTTCTCATCTGCATCTTCCAAAGCCTTATAGTAGTCCTAAAGAAAAATTTTCATTTTAAGCATTGGTAACTTTAGCATGCATACATACATACATATATATTCTTGCCTTTTCATTATTCATTTCATAAGCTTGTTATCATCTAGGCATCTCATATTAGCAAGAGTAAGCCTCCCATGGTAGGGCTGGTTTGGAGAGCATTAGAAATGAAGCGCAATGTCAAAAAGTAAAATAATACGTTTAAAAATCTAGAAAAGACAAATAAAAAGAAATATGCTAAGTTCAGTCTCCTTAGTAGAAAGTTATGAGTTAATAAATATATGAAGAACAAAACAATGCTAAGATTTAGCTAACATAAAAAACATACCAACACTTCATTTATACAACTTAAAAATACTTATCTTATGTGTATATGTTGCCTGCATGTATGTATGCCTACCACATGCCCCCGAAGTCAGAGGGGGACATCAGATCCATCCAAATTGCAATTACATATGATTCTGAGCCATTATGTGGGTGCTGGGAATAAAACCAGGTCTTCTGGAAGAGCAGTCAGTGCTCTTAATCATTGAGCCATTTTTCCAGTCCTGATTTTTACGGCAAAAACACAGCCTTACATTGGATTTTGATCTGCACGTTTCTGCTGTCCAACTGGTCTTCAGCTCTAGGTATAAATTCATACCACCCAAATTGTAGTTTATAGTTATGAGCTTCCACAAATCCTTAGACTTTTAGGGGTCTGTTCAAGTTGGGCTACATCAAATACCTTTCAGTTGAAGGGGATGGCCAGTGAACCCTGGATTTACATATGCAAGTTCTAAACTCTACATACCTGGGTCCCCAGGTATTTCATAAGGCTGGACTACTTCTCTCATGACTTCAGATTTTCCCCTTCCTAACAGAAACATTCTTCCTTCCAGATGGAAGAATAACACAACTATGAAAATTTTAGTTCCAAAATTAATTTTTCTGTAGATCCCTGAAAATTTATATAAAGGTTGGGTGTAGTTACATATTCTTCCTCATATTAAAGGACCTGGCCAGAGTCAAGCAGCTCAATGGCAGTGAGGACCAAAGCCAAGTCTTTGGAGCTGGGCTTCCAGTGCAGCCTTGAAAACACCAGATCCCACAGCACAGCACTCAGTAAACATATCTAAGCTGCACTCTAATCAGGAGGACACTAGCTAAACCTCAGAAAGAACTACAGGGAAGCTCGAAATTCGTGGTTCTCAGTCCTTCTAATGCTGTGACTCTTTATGTTGTGGTGATCCCAACCATAAAATTATTGTGTTGCTACTTCATAACTAATTTTTCTACCATTATGAATGGTAAGGTAAATATCTGTGTTCTCTGTTATAAATCCATAATGTAAATATCTGTTTTCTGATGGTCTTGGAGACCCCTGTGAAAGGGCTGTTCGACCCCTAGAGGGGTCATGACCCACAGGATGAGAATCACTGCTCTAAAACATAACAAGCACCCCCAAGTCACTGATAATGTTGCTTCATTCAATACCCTGGGATTAACGTCATTTTAAATCTCTCTCTCTCAGAGGGTCGCAGTTGTGACTGACAATCACCCAAGGTATTCATTGCACTTACTTTTTTGATGGATGCCATCTGCTCTTCTCGCCACTCAGGTTTGTTCTTCTTTGCATTCATAAAAAATTCGCTGACTCTTTGTTCTAGTTGATCCATTGCATCTGATATAATAAAACATTTCATACTTAGCTAACCAAACTGCTTTGATTTGAGGAAAGAAAAAGAAGTCTGATAATATGTACTATTTTAGTTTTCTAGGTGCTTAGCTATTAGTCTATAAACAGCAATGCCTTAATTACCTTAGTTTCAAATAGCTGCAATATTCTGTGCTGACATTTTCTGATAATCAAGGCAGAGTCAATGACACAGACAAGTCCCACAGCACTGACACTAGCTAATGGCATTACGTCGGCTAGTTATGGCATCCTTAGTGCTCACTGAGAGGCCTGCTGGAAAGTCTTCATGCTTCTTTTAATAAAAATAGTGATAATACATTCAACATGTGCAGCATGGCACCCAGCACCCCATCACTTCAGCTCCTATGAAAGTTATGAAATGTGTGATCATCGTAAGATGCCACTTATTCACTCAATACACATGATTTATTCTATGCAAGGGTTTTCCAAAGCCCATGCCAAAAATACTGACTTCAGTGGATGACTGCTAAAAAAGACAAACAAATAAAAGGGATTTTTCTCTTATGGAATGGAGAAAACCTTGCTTACTATATTCATCATTTAAAGCATTTTACTTGTCAGGTAGTGGTGGTGCATGCCTTTAATCCCAGAACTTGAAAGGCAGAGGCAGGAGGATCTCTGTGAGTTCAAGGCCAGCCTGGTGTACAGAGTGAGTTACAGGACAGTCCGGACTACACAGAGAAACCCTGTCTTGAAAAACAAAACAAAACAACAAAAAACCAAAAATGCATTTTACTTTCAGTTCATTTGCCAATATTAGACATGCTGCTACTTTTGTTAACACGTAATCATGTTTAACTTCAGAAAACACCAGTTTTATAAAAAAGCAAATTTGAAAACCTTGTAGTATTTATAAACTAAATCCAAACTATCACAGAATTTAAAAAAAAAAGATTGAAAGATTAAAAATGTTTTAAATAATCCCTTACTCTACACTTATTTGTAATGGGTAGTATACATCCTAATTATCTGTATTATTTTCAATTCTCAGATTGTCTTTTAAAAAGGCCCAAGGCAGGCAGCAAAGCAGCCAAGGTGGATAAGAAACCGGATGATGCCCTAAAGTGACCCCAAATCTACTGCTGTCCAGCTTTGCTCGATCCCTTTGGAATGTGCTTCAGCAAATGTTTACTACTATAACTGCATTAAGTCAAAGAAAATCACACATACACCTGCCACACGTGGATGACGGGCTACATGGCTATGCATCCCAAGAGATGACCCAGGGACTGAGATAAGTATGATTGGGAACAAAAGGTACCAAAAGGGGGAGGGGGGCTGAGAATGAAAAGAAAAGGCTCTCAGCAAACTCAAGCTGCCTTTGAGCAAGCCACATCCAATATGACTTTTCAAAACAACAAGATCAATTTCGGGAATAAGTCACATTCAAAAACTACCAAACATTGATTGACAGAAAAAACAAAGCTGAGCCAGTATGGTGGTCCATGCCTATAAACCCCAGCACTAGGTAGGCAGAAGCAGAAAGATCAGGAGAGTAGGGCCAGCCTCGTATGAGATCAGCCTGAGCTATGTGGTTGTGTTTACAAAACTAGAAACGGGTAGGGAAGCCTACCAAATGTCTAAATTTTTACAAAGAGCAGATCGGAAGATTTGCCTAATAATTATTTTTTCTCACTCGTTTTGGCTGAGAAAATAACCATGCTGATGGCAGCTCTAAGTGTCTTTCATAAGGTGCAACTTGTCAAAGTTCGGCCTTCCAAGTCCACTAGGGTCCCTACATCGCCACAGAGAACCCGGGATTCTAAGTCCTTAACGCTTGAGAAATTCGGGAGGCAGGGAACTTTTAAGGCTGAATGCAGAACTCCAAGTTCTACACGCAGGCTCAAGTGCAAACCTTCTGAAAAGCACGCGAGTTTCCACCGCGCTGCAGTGTCGTCATCTCCGTGCTGTTGTACACAAACACTGTGTTTGCTGTGCCCCGCGTGTGAAGGGAATGGTGTGCCTGCCGCCTCCTCTAACAGCCCGGGAAAAGTAGCGCGGAGAAGGCGCCAGGCGACGCCCGAGGGTGGCCGGGGCTGCGCGGGGCCGGGGAGAGGCGCCACTTACTCTGCACCTGCAGATCCATCTCGCGCATCTCGGTGAAGCGGTCCCGCAGGTCCATGGGCAGCTGCTCAATCACTGTCAAAGGCACAGTCCGTCAGAGGGCGGGGCCAACGGCGGAGGGACGCGCTGGCGTCACGCGTGCGTGCGTGCGTGCGTGCGTGCGGGGGGGGCGGCTCACAACGAGGCTGCCAGTTACCGTGAGAAAGAAACATCCCCCGCTCCCCCTCCCTCCCGCCATCCCGCCCGCCCGGCCACTCGCGCTCCCGCCCGCCGCCGATCTCGCCCGCCGCGTCGCCGGCGCCGCGCACTCACTTTCCAAATAGTCTTCTAGGTACAACATCGCGGCCCTGACTGCTGCGGGGACGAACGGGTCCAGGGGTTTATTTGTGTCACTCGCTGTCGCCGGAGTTTTGTCCCTTCCAATATGGCGCCTCCGCTAGCAGCACCCGCTCGACTCCGGCAAAGGAAAAAAAAAAAAAAAAAAAAGCAAAAAAAAAAAAAAGGCTCCACTTTGGCGCCTGACGGCGCTTGCCTCACTGCCGCCCGCCGTTGCCATTGGCTGCCTGGAGCGGTGACGTCAGCAGGCCGGTGCGGATCCCCGTGGTCTTCTGGGAAATGTAGTCTGTTTTTGCAGAGCAGGGGCCCACCAGTGCGGGCCGTTCTAGGCGTCGCAACTACAGAAACCACACGCCTGCGCGCACTGAGTACGCCAGAATCCGAAATGCGGTGCCTCTGTTTATTTGTTGATTTCTTAAAGGGGATGACGGGAGTTGTATGCGCCTGTCTGACACAACTAGGAACAACTTTTCACCTGTTCTGTGCTGTGATTCCAAGCCCGCCGTTTATGAGTCATGGATTTCTACCCGTGCTGGGCAAATGGCAAAGATTCCAAACGCTAGAATAATCGGCCAAGTTCGGAAAATTCGGATTGTTTAGACGAGAACTCTCTGCTGGAATTTATCTTCGTTATTCACTCCCGAGATAGAAACGGAGCAGCTGATTGTCGGCCCTGTAACTTTAAGATAATTTATACAGAGACTGGAGCGAATGTGCATTTCCCAAATTAAAAGATGCCCAGAATAGTCTGCAAAACCCAGTTATGTTTTGCGACGTGTCTCGTTGTTCACTGTAAAGCAACTGTTCTAATACACCTGCAAATAAATATAGGTAGATAATGACCAACCATAATTTATGGAGATTTAATCCATTGTTGGGACGTACCAGCAATGGTTCCAATTTATGTTGGATAAATAGCTGGGTTAAGGTTTATAGTCTTGGACGGGCTGTTTTTCTACCCCTAGCAAATGTTCACTAGTAGTTAGTGTATCCCACTCTGTTTCTACCTTAAAATCCCTTTCCTAAAAATTGTGCACTAAATACATGCCTCTGTGTTTTGAGGAAATGATCCCTTCTTAGACTAGTAGCATCGAGGCACACCTGTAATCCCCAAACTGGGGGAGTTGAGACAGGAGGATCAGCAGTTAAAGTCAAGTCTTGATAACGTGGATAGTTAGACGCTAGCCCACACTATGGGAGACCCTATCTCAACCAAAAACAAAAACAAGAAAACCGTATGACACTTTTAAGATTTTTTCACTACTCTGAATATTTTTATATGTCCAATTTAATTTTTTTGAAATGACATACTTTGCGAGCTCTATTTTGTTTTCTTTTAAAGTCACTTTTTTATTTCTTGTGTGTTAAGCATAGGTAGTCTGCATCTGTTTAAATCCAGTACTGAAAACTGTATTCGTGCTATTTCTTCAAAAGCAGCCACATTTGCTCATAGTGCCTAATTCCATCTGGGTTAGGATTTTTAATTCTACATTTACTTTTGTGGGGTTAATAAATGTAGAGATTCATCAAGGCTAGAGTTAAAATTGAGTTTTCCTCGAGAATATTAGCATTTGATTCTGCAAGTTGGCGCAAGCTTAGGATCAAATTAAGTTGTGTAGTTGAGGTTTATTACATTGCACAGATAGATTGAATTTGAGCCTGTAACTCAAATACCTCATAGACTCTCGGGGGAACCTTTTCCTTCTTTATTGCCCTCTAAGTCCAAGACAAGCATGTTTTCTTACTGGCCTCTTATGTGCAGAGAGTTTTTCTCACTCATCCTTATGTAGGGAATGTAGTTCTTGGGAGCCTCAAATTTTGTCTTCTATTAAACTTCTTGAGAAACCACCATTTACTGTCTTCTGACAGTGGTGTCCTACAGGACTGTCAAAGCCACAATTCTGTATGTCCAGGATTTGATTGCTAACCTCTGAACAAAAGGCTCGCTTGGGCCCTTGTTTTCCCTGGATGTGCTCATTTTCCTTCACTGGTCTCTTTTTTTAATCCACTCTGAGGATTTCTTTATGTTCTACATGAATATTTGTACATTTGAGTTTGTGGGAGACAGGCTTTCAGGTAGCCCAAGATTGCCTCTAACTCACAATTGCAATCAAAAATGATCTGGAGGTCTAATCCTCATGCTTCCACTTCCAAACTTCTGACTTTACAGCCTTGCACCACCTCACCTCCTCTGCCCCCTTTGAGCTCCTTCATCCAGAATTTTTCATTTTTCTTTTCAGACATTGCAGAGTAGCGAGTATGGCGTGCTCTAAGAAGTAGAAGTCTGTCATGTCAGTGTAAGCTGAGCTTCCTCAGGGAGTGTTCTGTATGGAGGAAAATGAAATTTACAAATGGTTCTGATTTAGTCAGGGTACATATATCCTCCAGAGAAACACGGAGTAAAACTAACATACACTTTGTCCATTTTTCTTACCGAACATAACCCTTATTGTTGAACTATATGTCATATGCAGAAAGTCAATTGGTTTATGCAATTGATAATACTTGGTGATGTCACCTACACACAACCAACACCACATTTCTTGGCAGTGTTTCTTATGTGAAGAAGGACTGTTTATGTGTGAATATTGTTGTGCCCGCTGATAATAGCTTATTAATTCATCAAGAGTGGCTGAAGCTGGCCCTATTTCATGTTCTATCTTGTGGTGGGAGTGAAGAGACAAGAGGCCAATAACATTGTAACCAGTGCACAGATTATAGCACAGTAAATGTCTGGTCCTCTTGTCCTGTTGCTGAGATCCACCAGTTCTACTTCTTCCCTTACTCTTCCCAGCTTTGTCACTAAGAGAAATAATAAGAGCTGTATAATGTTGAAGGTGGTTTTACCGTTCAATGAGTCCGTGTCCAGATGTGTAAACTGGAAATAGCAACAACAATTCAGACATGAGAGGGCTTGGAAAACTGTCATCTATTCGGAGCTCTTAGATTAATACCAGGTCTATGTTAATATTAACTGCTATTCGTGGACAGAGATTTTATGTTGGATTCCTGGCCACCCAGACCAGGATGATCATACAGAAACTATATTAATTACAACACTGTTTGGCCAATAGCTTAGGCGTATTCCTAGCTAGCTCTTATATCTTAAATCAATACATTTCTATTAATCTGTCTGTCACTATGAGGCTGTGACCTACTGGAAGGATCTGGCAGCATTTTTTCTCCTTTGACAGCTCCATGGCGCTTCTCTGATTTCACCTACTCTCTCTCTCTCTCTCTCTCTCTCTCTCTCTCTCTCTCTCTCTCTCCATATATATGTTTGGATTTCCTACCTGACTTTACTCTGCTAAGCCATTGGCCAAAACAACTTTATTCATTAACCAATAAAAGAATCACATATATAGAAGAACATCTGACATCAGCTATTACCTCAATCATTTTTATAATCGTATGTCACTCTTAATATACCCATGTTGCAGCTGGGATTTCCTGCTGCTCTGGGTTCTGCTTGGTACCCCTGATTCTTTTCAGGCCAGACACTGTTGGAAAGTTAGCATCATTTGGGGGGACAGTGTGTGTGTGTGTGTGTATGTGTGTGTGTGTGTGTGTGTGTGTTTGTACACAAGTGTAGTCATGCACTGCCATGACTCCATCTGTGGAAGCTAGAGGATAACTTATGGCAGTCTATTCTTTTCTTCCACTGTTGGCTGAAGGCTACTTGTTCTTTCCTGGCTTCACACACACAAAATAATCACTCAGAAACTATATTATTTGCAATACTGTTTAGCCAATAGCTTAAGAGTATTTCTAGTTAGCTCTTACATCTTAAATTAACCCACTTCTATTAATTTACGACAAGGCTTATGGCCTACTGACAAGGTTCTAATTGGTGGCTAACATGGCGGCTAGCATCTTTCTCTTCTGGCAGCTACATCTCCTGACTCTGCCTACTCTCTCCTCCTCTATCTGCTTGAAACTCCCACCTTGCCCTATTCTGCTAAGCCGCTGCCCAAAACAGATTTATTCATTAACCAATAAAAGGAACTCATATACAGAGGGACTTCCCACACCATTTCCCCTTCTTGTTTAAATAAAACCTTTAAAGGTTTAGCTTAGCAACCCATACAATAAAATGTCTCTCTGTACTTAGCTCATTCACAGTCAAAAAATTCAAAGAAAACACAAAAACGTACATAATCCAGACTTTCTGTGTATATTCCATCTTTACATGGCTTATTTTTCTTCTTTCCTTTAATCTATGACTATACTCTCTCTTTTAAAAGACTTTACCCTTTTTTAACCAATCTCTTCTTTTTTATAACTCTATATTGTTTTCTTCTCTCTTCCAAGCCTATGTACATTTGTTCAACACTGTGACCCATTAGAGGTCTTTTTATCTGAATCTGATTTATTGTGTATCTGTAATATGCCATGTTGGCATGCCAATTTGTTGGCGGAGGCTGTTTGTTTGTTCTTGATTGCCCAGATACAAAATCACTCCGAAGCTATCTTATTTGCAATACTGTTTGGCCAATACCTTAAGTATATTTCTAGCTAGCTCTTAAACATTAAATTAATCCATTTCTATTATTTTATGTTTTACCACAAGGCTCGTGGCCTACCATCAAGGTTTTGGCTGGAGGCTAGTGTCTTTCTCCTCTGGCGGCTACATGGCATCTACTGACCCTCCCTACTCTCTCCTTTTCTATCTGCTTGAAACTCCCGCCTTGCCCTATTCTGCTAGGCCACTGGCCAAAACGGATTTATTCATTAACCAATAAGAACAACACTTATACAGAAGGATTTTCCACACCTTTCCACCCTGATGATTCCAGAGAGGAAACTTAGATTCTCAGGCTTCACAATAAGTGCCATTACACTAAGCTATTTCCAAGATCCACTAGCATCAAGTTGATAATGACAGTAATGATGCTGCTATCATCATGGTAAATTCTAGGGAATGACATACAAGTAAGATATATATACTGTGATGTACATACCTTGTACATCAGGGAAAATTGATACCTAAGTAGAAGGAGTTAGAAATTAGGGAAGTGATTCAAAAGTTGGTGCAAAATGTGAGGTTGTCAGAATTCAAGAGAAAGGGGAGTTTAAGTCCTTTTTGTAGCGTGTTCTCATAGGAACGTTTTTCTTACCATAAGGTTCTAGCACTTTCCTGGCTTACAAAGAT